GGGACTGGTGGGAATTGGATTGCTCTTCCTCAGAAAGCTGGTATGTGTTCAAATTTCTTTGCAGATATGTTGTCTTGTTTTACATTTATGTTGACGGCTCGGTGTTGAGTCCAGGTTTAAAGAGGTGCGGGAAAAGCTGCAGATTGCGTTGGCTTAATTATTTGAGGCCTAACATTAAACATGGTGAATTTTCTGAAGAAGAAGATAGAATAATCTGCAACCTATATGCAACCATTGGAAGCAGGCAAGCGACACTACTAATTTCATTTTCATTTCCTGGCTTTTATTTACCAGTTTTTAAGGAAAAATGACTAGAATTTCAAAGTTTTTAATGAATATTAGTTCAAAAGTTTCTTCTTTTGGAACTTTTTTTTTATGTGAGTTGACTAGTCGAAGACAAGTGCCGTCTTCAGTTCTATAAGGTTTTAGATGAGGATATTTAATGGTTTCATCTAAAACTGTTTCGGGTAAATGCAGGTGGTCAATTATAGCTGCACAGTTACCAGGAAGGACCGATAATGATATCAAGAACCACTGGAACACCAAGTTGAAGAAGAAGCTCATTAACAAATTTACCCCAAATTACCAAGGAAAAACATCACCATTTTCTCCAACCCTTTCTCAGTCAGTACCCCCAAATCTGTCATCGTTATATAAAGATCATTTCAACTCATTTTACACCTCAACGAAATCCCTCTCAGGATTTGAATCCTCTTCACCTCCACAAAATTTTCTCTACTATAATACCGCAATTCCTTCATTTACCAATCAATATTCCTATTACCTTCAGAACCAAGACGGTTTGATGGATTCACAGTATTATTATCCAGTTAAAGATCAGAATATGATAATGTTTAATGGAAATGAAGTGAGTTGTTCTTCATCCGATGGAAGTTGCAGTCAGATCAGCTACAGCAAAGATGTAAAACAAGAAGAAATGGGCTGTTTTCAGGGTTTCATGCTTGATTATGGAAATATCCACGGTGATTATCCACTCAATACATTTTCTGATGATCATCAAAAGGGAAGTGGGATTCTTGGGAACTGTCAATTACAATATGATCTGGAGGAAGTTAAGGAAATAATTAGTACTGGACATGGATGTAGTAACAACAATATGTTCTTCTTGAATTATGAAAACTGACTATAAGTTCGATCAGAAAGATTTATAAAAAAATTCAGTTTCTGTGATCTTGTGTATTTGATGGAATTGAATGAAATCCACTTTCCCCCCTTTCTTAAGATCGGACTCATTAGTCACTGACGACTGTATGTTTGATTGTGCATTAGTATTAAGTTTTAAAAAAACTTATTTTTCAAATTTCATTTTTTCCTTTCAAATTGTCAGTAAAGAAAGTTGAAAATTTGTTTATTAACTTGTAAGTATTTCAAGTATTGGGTTTTGAAATTACAGTAATATTGTGATTGTTTCAGTCATTTTTGACTCATTCTTAGTCACCATGCAAAATCAAGAACGTCCTGCATTATTATTTTCTATTCTTAAATTAATGGAAGTTATTATGTTAGCAATATTTACTTTGGCAGTCTTAAGTCTTCATGAAAGCCACAAATTAATCAAAGCATTTACACAATCAAAAACTTTGCAGGCCAATATTGCCTAGTATTGAAAGCAATTAAATAGTATAATAAATTATAATTTAATTTTTATCTTTCTTTTTATTTATAAAATACTCAAACGTGAAAATGACACTATAACCCCCTCTTAGAATAGACACCGATTAACATTATTAAAAAAATTAAATAAAATTTCAATCCATTTATTATAATGTAACATATTATTCAATTATATTTTGGAAAGTAGGATAGAAAATACTGTATCTTATTAAGGAAGAAAAATAAGTCATATTATCATGCACCTAAAGTTTTAAATTGTTATTTTATTACTAAGACTATCAAAGTAAATATAGTGATGTAGAATATTGACCAAATGATATATAGTTATACCAACAAAAATAAGTTCGGATATCCACCCCAAGTTCACTCACGTTAGGTTCATCCCTGTTTCAAACATGCTCCTACATTATCTTCATAATAATGCTTAATCATTGACTCTAACACGAGATTTTCAATTTCGACACTAACGTAATGTAGGTTATTGCAGTCATTTTGTCCAAATGCTATAACTTATGATACAAATACATTTACCATATATCACCAAATATCAAGTTCGAGAAATCCACCTCAAGTAAAAAAATCATAATTTTATTAAATTTTTAATATAAGTTAATAAAACACCTACTTAAAAAATCGTGGAACTCATAAAATATGTGATGAAAATAAATTATTAACTTTAATTTAAATTTTAATTCACATCAAAGGGGCTAGCAAATTTTAAAATAATCGGAATCTTACTCCATTTTCAACACCCATTTTAATAATAAACTTGGGATCCTAGTGATATACAGAAGAGCAGACATCCACTAATTTATTTATGTGCATGAGTACTAAATTTTATTAAATAAAATAAAAAATATATATATATTGCAGACTCCAATCGAGGCACATCACGAATAATGGTATCTTGGATTGATTATCTTGGATTGATTGGTTAATCATTGACCAATGTTTAATTATTTTTATCAAATTTCAAAGGGGTCCCATTAGAGTTGACCCCTGTTATAACAGCCAGCTTAGATAAGCTAAATTTTAGTCTTCCATAGATAAAATTGATTCCAATTGGAAATAGTCTTGGAAACTAGAACAAGCAACCCTTCATTTTGAGGTTGAAAATTTAGGGCCCGTATGATTGGTCATGAATTTCGTGAAATTCCACTTTCCATCTTTATCATTGTTTGATGGCACATATTTTCCATGGAATCAGTATTCCAAGCTTTCCCTCCACGCGCCAATTTTCCTTCTTTTTTTGGAATTCCAATTTTTATGGGTTTGGTAAGAATTGGAAATCCAGGCAATTTTTTTTTTGTTTTTATTTATTATTATTATTAGCAATGGGAACAAATTCTATGCCTAATTGTAAAATAATATTTTCCTTTAATTGACAATTTTCATGTAAAATAAAGTTAAGTGAACGCCAAAAGATAGATTATTTTCTTGACTTTTCTTGGGTAATGGAAACAAATTCTATCCCCAATATCGATAAATTATATCCTTTTAATTGACAATTTTCATATAAAACACAGCCAAACGAACACCAAAAATCATTTTTATTTCAAAATTTTTCACGTAAAAGATTATACCAATCAGACACAATAATTTACAATTCTCAGAAAAACAATTTCTAAGTAATTCGATTTCCTGAAATCGTTTTCTTTCCATCCAAATTTTATCTTTGCAATCAAACAGACCCTTAATTGTCATTTCATGTGGCCGGGTTTCAATTTTAAATAATATTACTCTACATAGACAATAGTGATGAACAACAATTTATGCCGAGTGAAATGATTGTCACATAATCTACTAAATAATAATATGTTTGAACTTTATTGAACAATGAGATATTAGCTTCAATGTGACATGTACTATTGTACATTGAATCGTCGATTATGCTTGTGTTTTAATATAGATAATACTCAATAAAAAACCTAAACGCGAATAACTAAAAAGTTAAGAATTAGCGTACACAAATTTAATAGGTCGAAGCTTATTTTCTTTAATGTAACTGATTATTTATAATTTCAATTTTTCGAATGACTTTTCTAGTGAAATATAAAAGTCAAAATGTGTGGAAAATTACTCACAGTCTGTCAAAAAAAAAAAAAAATTGGAATATGTAAAAGGTTTCAAATCTGTGGACTAGTTTCCATTAAAAGAAAGAAGCATATATTTTGCTGTAACCATGCTTCAGCTTTGAACAGTTAATAAGAAAAATATATATGAGATTTTGTCTAGATTTCATTTTTCCAATTAAGTTAGCATCACATGGAGCATTCTATGTAGATTAATTTTAAATACACACTGGATAGGGGATATGATAGAAAATAAATAATTTTATTTACTCTAAACATCAAAAAGTCGAATTAAAATTATTTAAATCGACTATTGTACAATTGACCTCAAACTTATTCTCGATTGCATAAGCGGAAAGGTGGAACATTCAACTCAAAGATATTTCCACGAATTTTAGGGTTAGACTATGAACTTGATCAGCTAATTTTATTGTACTTTTTTTATTAACCCGACATTTTTTGTGTTCGAAATGATGAATTTACATTGGAGTTGATAAAGTTGGAAACTCGAAAAAGTACAAATTATAATTGGATTCTGAAGGATTTTTAGGGTTAACAGCAACAACGTTTTCAAACTTTCATGTCTTTTGCAAATTTTAGGACAGTGTCCTAAACCTTTGAAAAGTTGGGGCATTCATCCACTTAGATAATTTTCAGTTATTTTTCCGCTAGTCAAATCATTTGACCAGCATAGTCAAAAATTAAAAGAGCAAAATATTAATTCTGTTATTCTTAATTAGAAAATTTGAAAGTAAGAAAAAAAATTCATTAAACTAATTAGAAAGGAAAAGAATTCATAAAACTATTTACAAAAGAAAAAGACTTAAAAAAGACATTTCCTCCCATTTTGCTGCCAAAAAATGGGCTGGAGGCGATTTGCTTTGGGAAAGTGACACTGGAGTGATGGGACGGCGACGGCTAAGAATGTGATGGCTTCGGGAGTAAACACTGGATTCAAATCTAGATTTTAATGTAAATTAAAGTTAACAATAAATTTTAATAACATATTTTATGGAATTTACAACTTTTGAATCACTTATTTAATCAATTTTTATCCCAATCTCTAACAATCTGATATTGATCCCCTAAAAAGGGGCTTAATATTAACAGTGTCAAATGGACCAGCCTGACTATAGGCCCGAACCAGTCTTTTTACGTTAGGCCGTATTGGGCCCAGATCGTGCTGAAGTTTTCATCCATCTTAGCCCTGAGACTGACCCAAAGCCCAAATTGTTTTTTAAATTAAAAAATAAAAATTGACAGGTGAGTTTACAGATGTCACACTGTAGCGATTCCAAAATCCTCAGACGTCGAGTAAGCACTGCGGGCAGGCTGACTCCAAAACGAATGTTTCATCATGTTGTACTCTGCTGTACAACACTATTATCTCTTCAACAAATTGCTTTTGCCTCAGGTAAGTACCCTGCACTGTTTTTCTCTATCGTTTTATTTTTCCCATAAATATGATATCCTTTTTTTTTTTATTTTTTTGGCATTCATCCCTTTTTTAAATCCTGTTATTGTTTATTTTACATATTTGGAAAGCATAATAGTGTTCGTTTATGTTTCATGTGCATAAGAACGTCTGCCACTTGCTCTTGAATGAATCCACCTTACACTATAACACTACTGGATCTCGATATGGTTGAGAAATTAATAAGGTTGAGATTGAGAAATTCAAGAAAATAATTGGTGTTTTTTAATCGATTTTGAATAAAATAATTTAAAAATCCTATTGCTGCTGTAAGTTGAAGTACTTAAGAGATGTATAAAACATCAATTTTGTTATTTGTACATTTGGGGTTGATACCGATTGACACCCCTCACAGGAGCGGTCCTGTGTGTACAAATAGCAAAGTTGATAAAACATTATTCAAGGAAATAGATATGGTATGTTTGGTGCATTGGTTCTCCTCCAGTTTTGTCTAATTTATCGTACTAAATATCTTGATATAATCAATTCACACACCCTCCCGTTCCCAAAATGATCAATACACCAATCACTACAAATTATTGGATTTGTTACTAAAATATCGAAATTATATCTGGAGCTCCCTGGCAGATGGCCATTGTCACAAAGAAAATGAAAGAATCAGTCACATTTTTCATAGGATCTCTGATCTCCTCTTATAGATAGACTATCCTTTAATCCATGCTTGGTCACATGGCAACCATTTTTTTTTTTTGAAAAAAATACTATTGAATTCACTTATCAAACATGCCATTAATGTATAATTTTGATGTGGACAACTCAATTTAATGCTTTGGTAGGAATATCTTGTTTTATTTTGATGTAGCACACTGGAGTTGATTGAGATCTGTTTGATTTTATGTCTGTGAAATTCAGCTATGGATACTTTCCCTTTCACCTCGGAATCTGTCACTGAAGGTCACCCTGATAAGCTTTGTGATCAAATATCTGATGCGATTTTAGATGCGTGCTTGGAACAAGATCCCGAAAGTAAAGTCGATTGTGAGACATGTACAAAATCCAACATGGTTACAGTGATAGGCGAAATCACGACCAAGGCTAATGTGGACTATGAGAAAATTGTTCGCGACACGTGCAGAGAAATTGGATATTCATCGCTGGAAGTCGGACTCGATGCTGATAATTGCAAGGTTCTGATAAATGTCGAACAGCAGAGCCCTGAGATTGCTGAGGTTGTCCATGGTCACCTAATGAAAAAACCGGAAGAGGTTGGAGCTGGAGATCAGGGACACATGTTTGGCTATGCCACTGACGAAACCCCTGAGCTGATGCCGTTGACGCATGTCCTTGCTAGTAACCTCGCAGCCAAATTAACCGAGGTGAGAAAGAACCGAACTTGTCCCTGGCTAAGGCCTGATGGCAAGACTCAAGTTACTGTCGAATATCAGAAAGAAGGTGGAGCTGTGGTACCTATTAGGGTCCATACCGTTCTCATCTCGACTCAACATGACGAGGTTGTGACAAATGAGCAGATATCGGAAGATTTAAAAGAGCACGTAATCAAGGATGTCATTCCATCAAAATATATCGACGACAAGACAATATTGTGTTTCATCCCGTTGAGTCGATTTATACATGGAGGTCCTCACGAGGATGCAGGATTGACTGGCAGGAAGATTATTGTCGACACTTACGGTGGCTGGGGTGCACATGGAGGTGGTGCATTTTCTGGAAAGGATCCAACCAAGGTTCATCGAAGTGGTGCCTATATTGCCAGGCAAGCAGCGAAAAGCGTGGTGGCCTCTGGGCTTGCACGTCGTTGTACCGTGCAGTTGTCATATGCAATCGGGATGCCGGAACCGTTGTCTATATTCGTGGACACGTATAGAACAGGGGAATTGTCGGATAAGGATATACAGGAGCTTATTCAGGACAAGTTCGACTTCAGGCCGGGAATGATTTCTATCAATCTGGACTTGAAAAGGGGTGGCAACTTCAGGTATCAGAAGACTGCTGCCTATGGTCATTTTGGACGAGATGATCCAGATTTCACCTGGGAAAATGTTAGTGTGCTCAAGCCTAAATGAACTTTTAGTCTACTTTCCTTTCTATAGTATGCTTCTGTTGTTTCTCTTGGATTTGTACATTTCTTATCGAAACAAAAGAGATTAAGCCACGTTTTATAAGCTCTATGCTTAAGAATAAATAATAGAAGAGTTCATGTGATTAATCAAAGCTTTTTCAATTGATAAGAGGCTGATATCTTCAGTCCTAAGAGATCTTTGTCATTGTCGTGAATTCTGGTAACGCAGATAATTAGCCCATTAATAATCACTGTCACAATTCTATAATTAGAACAAGTGATTTTTCTAGACCAATCCCTTTGCCTAAACATGAATAGATGAAACTTTTATTTAGACAATCTAAATCAAAAAATCAATACATGTAAAACAGAAGTGTGTTGAATCATTACAAATTTGGGGTTTGTGCTGCTTTTCTTCACAGAGATATACCTTGCATCCACCTCTTTAGCATTTCTAGTGATGCTTTAGGTTGATCCATAGGAACCATGTGACCAGCATTATTGACCTTAAGGAACGTGAGTTGTCCGTGGCTTTTCTGTAATCCTACCTCCACTCCATCTACGCTAAATGGAAAGGTAGGAGCGGATACAAAGTCTTTCTGTCCAGACCACATCATGGCATCGACCCATCTTGAGTTTCCTGATAATATTAAAACTCAGTTATAGCAATTACATTACAAACCCTTCCTATGTTTTTCATAGTCGATCTCAAGTAAATCTTACCAAGCCAGTTGCAAATGAGATCATACTCCCCAGCATATACAAGTAACTTGACTCCATTCTCTAATAGAGCAGGAACACCAACTTCGAAATTCTTCATCGCATCCGTTGTCATTGCATCAAACACCACAGTACTACATGAAACAAATTCTATATTTCCAACGCCAAGTGCTTGTCTAACTGGCTTCTGGTTCAAAAAATTTTCCACATTCGAGAAGTCGTAGCACAGAGAACCCACACAAGTTTTTCGAATATCATAGTACTACAGATAAAAATATAAGGTTAAAAATTTTTATTTTCTGTCAAACTAGATGATCGAATAATGTGTTTATCTTACATTTATATCACCAGCTATGTTAAGTATATTATTGAAAATGTCATTGCACTGAACATAAGCCTGGGAGCACGCTGACGATGAACCATTACTACTGCCTGCCAAGAAACGTTTTATCAGATTCCAAGTGAGAATGAGAGTTAGGGGAAGAAGGTTAGACTCGTGGATTTATAAACACATTATAAGCTGCCTTCCTGAGGTTGTATTGTCTGTAACGCAGGTCCCACCAGGTGGGTGCTTCTAAGTTAAGATCTCACGCGAGGGACTTGGATTCAGAAGCAGATGTTAGAAGATATGAGTTTAGGGTTAAGAATTACCACAGATTTTTATTGCCTCTACACATTCAGAAACTGACTCACTCATGCTGTCATAATCAGATTGGGTGATCAATTTCATGTTTAAAGCATAATCAGTGTATGCTTTGTACTGGATCTGTGGATCTGTCATTCCATTACCAATAGCTAATCCCTGTTTAAGCATTGATAAGGTGATTAATCAAACAGAGAAAACTATGAGATTAATTAACTAGGGAGATAAAATTCAAGGTCTACTTTCATGTTAATATGAATCCCTTGTTTATTATCGTTTCCCTGTTGTATCCGAGCAGCAAAAGCAGGAATGTAGTGCCCAGCGTATGATTCTCCGGTGATGTAAAAGTCATTCTTTGCATACTGAGGGTGCGCTTGGAAAAATGCCTGACATTTTATGAATATTAGTTTGTGATTGTGGTGGATTTTACACTATTGAATGTACGTATTAGATAAAAAAATAAGCTAATATCTTGTCTAATTTAGTGTCTAGTTACCTGCAGGAAGTCGTAGAAATCCCCAGCAGCTCCCTCAGAAGTCGCTCGTATGTCATTATTGTCAGACGTATAACTGAAACCTGTTCCAGTTGGTTGGTCGACAAATATAATGTTTGAGACCTGTCATATCATGTCATTCATTAAAATATCAAAACACAAAATAGCTTTGGTTTCGCCTTATGGGGTATGGTTAACACGAGAAATTTTTGTCCAACAAAACCCTTTCCCATTGAGTCGAGGCAAGACATTGACTCATCTTCAGGAATTATCTGTTGGGATTCCAAGAAGAAAAACTATTAATGAGAATTGAGGAAAATGAAAGCACCTTATCCCAACCAAAATCATTCCATACAAGAGACAAGTTGTCTGTTATGTGGAAAGGGCCATTTTCATAAAACAGGGCCAACGATCCACTGCATCCTGGTCCTCCCGTTAACCAAACGACAACCGGGTCAGTACTCGTCATGTTTCTTGATTCAAAGAAAAAGTAGAACATCCTGCAACAATATTCCAAGAAGTTTGACATGATATAACCTGGGAAATGATACTTAGGAATTCTTGTATTAAACATACTGTGGTTCACCTAATTAGGTGAAATGCAAGAAAAAGGTCCCAAAACCTGAAGAATAGATACATGAATCAATGTTGTAATATGGAAATTTTGATGCTTATTATACCTTGCACCTTTGGTGTGAGGAAGTCTATAATATCCAGCCCTGTGACCCAAATCTTGAACACTGGTTCCGGGATTACTTAAGCCGGGGAATCTAAAACTTTTTTCGACCATCTTTGGTGCTGTCAATGCAGGATCTTCTTCAACAATGTTCACATCAAGTTCAGGGAACAAGTTCATCTCTCTAATAATCTTTTCTGCTTGTGTTTTTGGGAATTCCGTAGCTTCTGAAACTGAAAATAAGAAAGGGAGAAAGAAAAGTAGAGGGAAAAAGAAATTAAACACTGCTAGTTCCATTGTTGTAGCCTGTGGGAATGATTCTGAAGATGAAAATGGTTTTGATTTTTTTTTTTTTTTAAATTTAATCTTTGATTTTTCTATATTGCTGATGCTAATAGACCTTAAGAAAGATTTGGGTAATAAATATAGGAATAAAAATGATAATATGATTGACAGTTATTGAATATTTACTTATTCTTGGATTCTTGAATATTGAGAAGATATAAGCAATAAAAATGATTCTGTATACGTAGAAAATTTAAAATTTAGAAGGACAAACAAAATTTCTGAGATTATTATGGGAGGAAATCATAGTAAAAATTGATGAAAATAAACAATCAAGATTCTCAAAGTATCAAAAGCAAAATTAGTGGGTGAAATTGATTGCTTAAATGAGGGGTTTGAATATTTGAATTTTGTGAAAAGATTGATGAATGATTGCCAAGGGCTATTAATTGCAATCTTAACCTTGTGTAATACGGTATTAATCAATTAAATCAATTTGTGTCCTTAACGACCGCAACAAATTATGTCAATTTGGACTTTGTCATCTCTCTTTTAGTCTGTGTCATTTAGAAAACTGATTGAATTTGACATGTATTATTTAATTGAATCTATAAATGTATGTAATTGTGAACCAAGATCCACCTTCCATATTCATAATAGAATTTGAAATTTGCACCTCAGGGCACATCCCAACTAGCAAAGATGAGGGCGCTTCAAGACTGGCAGATCAGAGGTCGTGAGTTCAATTCCTGGAAGACTCTTGGAAAGCAGATATTCTCCTGGAAGGTAGGATTTATTCTGGAAGGCAGAAGCTCTAATGGAAAGTAAGGTGCAAAGATGGGAAACGACTTGCTTGGCACTTTAGCAAATCAGTTGGGGAGGGCTCTTGAGCACTGGTCAGTTAGGAGCACAACCTGCGATTTAACCTGTCTGCAGCTTGAGGGGTCAAGGTGTAGACTTCAGGATTTAGTCACTGTAAGGTGGATACCTGGATATAAAAAATATATATATATATATAATATACATCTATATAATACATAACACAAATTAACTCAATACCTAAATAGGCTATTACCCATTCCAATTAACAATCATGCTATAAGTACAGAAAATTTCAATCGAAAATTTAGACAGATAGCACAGGGCATGGAATTATTGGAAGATAAAAAAAAAAAAAAAAGACGAATCAAGTTTTACCACATCAGCATTTATAGGATTTCAGTAAGAAATTCCTTGTACTTGAGGCTTTTCCCTCCAATTAATTAATTAAATTATACCTAAATAATCAAGGGTCATAATAATCGTGAACATAAAATTCTCAAATTGGGCAAAGTGTTGAACAATTGCTTAATCATATTCATTGACAGCCCATTACAATTGAATAGATAACCAATCTAGATTTTAATTTAAACTCACACATTTTTTTTCTTTTATTAATAATTTTTTTCGAATTTCAACTAAATTTTTAGATCAATTTATACAATTTTTCTTATTTTTAGTAATTTTTTTCTCTACTTTATTGGTAATTTTTTTGTTTTGTTCTAGTTTATGCTGGGCTATCTTAAATTTTTAACGAATAGCATTTATTATTTAACTGTGACTCAATTTTCTGGTCTAGTCATTCAGTTTATTATTTACATTTTAACTTAATTTTCTAGATTTTACTTATTAATTACTAGAATGATTTGGTGGATTAGTTAAATGGTCATTTTGAAAATTTGATCAATGAGACTTTCTAGATTTTCCTCTAGGGGAAATTGAATGGAATTGTTGTCACCCGAATTGTTAAATATGTGTTAGCTATTCAAATATCTACAAATATTTTTGAGTTCACATTCCCTGCTAGTAGTTGGATTGGTTCCTTTAGGATCTTGTTAAGCACAAATATGTTTAAGGTGGTGATTTATCATAAAAATTTGCTCTACAGTAATAAAGAACTTCAGTAGGATCCATAAGGTATAAAAAGCTCAATTGATCACTTAATAAATTTTGTCTAATCATTGATATCATTATGAGCCATACATCTAGCCCGTAAAATAAATAATCAAATGTGAAGCCCATATTAGAATATTCCAACATTTTCCTACTTGGGCAAGTTAGACTACATAGGTGGCTACAAAAGTATAACTCCAATGATGACACCTTACGTAACATGATCCGGTCCAACAAGAATATTAACACCGAACATGGAAGTCATTACACCAATTGAGCGATGTAAGATCATTCCACAGCTACACATGCCAACATCTTTTTCGACATGGATCCCCATCCTCCAACTAATGTGGTAGTATGTGGTATGAACTTAGCACCAAATGTGATAAAAAATTATACTAATTCATATCGGTCCTCAGAATGCTTCAGATCAAAATGAAGCCACATGTCTTTAAAAGAGACTCATCTTATGTCTTTATCTGTTATATCTCGAGATCACAATAATATTATAATAAAAAGACATAAGTCAAATGCATGCTCAAAATAGTTCATAGATAGGGGAAAATTTTATTATCAGAAAAGGGCTGTACCCGAAAACATATAGGTTGCTTATGTACCCCTTAAGGGATCAAGCCCAAAAATGTAGTTCATAAATTACTTTCACTGACCAAAAATATTAAATGTTTCCATAATACCCATATTAGCAACATGTGTTTTAAAGACTTTTGGAACGAGTCCCTTAGTCAAGGGATGTCTGTCATTCCTTGACTATGTCTCTAATCATCAAATATTTGACGTCAATATTCTTTGACCCACGAGAACTTTTATTATTTTTTGAAAAGAAACACTGTCGCACTGTTATTACAATAAATGGTAATCGGTCTTGAGATGAAATCAACAACTTTCAAGCTAGAGATAAAATTTCATATCCAAACGGTTTAGACTGTAGCCCCATAATATGCCATGAATTCAGCTTAAATAGTAGAAGATGCCACTAGAGTCTGTTTAGCACTTTTCCAAGAAATAGCACCACCAGCTAATGTAAAAATATAACCTGAGGTTGATTTCAAATCATCTTGACATCCAACAAAATCAAAATCTGAATATCCTACAAGCTCAAGATGATTTGAACACTAGAATGTAAGCATATAATCTTCAATTTTCTTCAAGTATTTGATAACTTTCTTAGCTACTTTTCAATGCTCTTGTCCTGGATTCGACTGAAACCTACTAAGGACATTGACTGCATAGGCTATATCCAGTCTAGTGCAAACTTGAGCATACATCAAGCTCCCCACAACACTAGCTATGGAATCATCTTCATAGATTTCATTTCTAGCTCATTCTTTGGACTTTGAGTTTTGTTAAACTTTTTCTCCTTTATAAAGGTGCACAGTTTTACATATTAAAACCTTTTTAGAACACGTGTATATATGCTTTCTGAGAAAGTTCGAGCAAGCCACGATTTCTATTACGAAGTAATTCAATGCCAAGCACATAAGAGGCTTTTCCAAGATCTTTCATCTCAAAATTAGCAGACAACATTTTCTTTGTCTCATGAAACAACCATAAGTTACTGCTAGCAAGCAAAATATCATCAACATATAGGACAAGAAAAATGAAATTTCTCCCACTGATTTTGAGATAAATGCATTGATTTATTGTATTTTCGACAAAATCAAGAGAAGTTACAACCTCGTCAAACTTCAGATACTACTGTCGAGATACTTGCTTGAGATCATACAAGGATTTGTTTAACTTGCACACCAGTTTTTCTTTTCCTTTCACAACAAAACATTCATGTTGTCTCATGTAAACTTATTCAGAAAGATCTCCATTCAAAAATGCTGTCTTAAAATCCATCTGATGGAACTCCGAATCATAGTATGCCACAAGTGCCATAATAATTCGAAAAGAATCATTTGACGAAACAAGTGAAAATGTTTCAACATAATCAATACCCTCTCGTTGAGTGAAACATTTTGAAACCAGTTTTGCCTTCTTTCGCTCAAAATTCCCTTCAAATTCAATTTACTTTTAAAAATTCACTTGTTATCTATATCTTTAACGTCTAGTAGAAGTTCAAGAAGTTCCCAAACTTTATTCTTTTCCATATAATTCATTTCATCTTTCATAGCATTTATCCATTTATCTGCCTTAGGACTTGTCAATACTTGATTATAAGTTACAGGATCAACAATATGCCCAATATTAAAATCATTTTCCAATATATATGTAATATAATCATTGGGCAATGCAGATCTCATTTTCCTTTGTGATCTTCTAACTTATGGCTTAGGAACTGATTCAATCATTGTTGGAGATATTGGAAGTTCCTTTGGGTTCCTTGGTTCTTCATTAACAACTTCAATTGGTTGAGAACCAACTCATTCCTGTATAATAGGAACTGGAACAACAACTTGATTTAGTTCAACAAAAATTTCTCTCAATGTGGAACTCCCACTATCTCTAAAATTATTTTCTAGAAATTTAGCAATAATGGACTCAACAATTCTAGTGCTATGATTTGGACAGTAGAACTTATATCATTTTGATCTATCCGAATACCCAATAAAGTAACGATTTAGGTCTAATTTCTTTTCAAATGGATTATAAATCATAACCTCAGTTGTACATCTCCAAACTTTAAAATAAGCCAAACTTGGATTACATCCTATCCATAATTCAAAAGGTGTCTTTGCAACAGCTTTACTTGGAACTCTGTTCAAAGTATACTTAGCAGTTTTCAAAGTTTCACCCCCATAGATACTCTAGCAAATTTGTTCTACTCATCATGCTCTTCACCATACCTTTCAGATGTTCGATTATGTCTTTCAGAAACACCATTCTGTTCAGGTGTCCCTCGCATGGTATATTAAGGCACTATTCCACAGTCTTACAAAAACTTTGTAAAATCACTCATATTTTGACCAGACTCGTTATATTTCCCATATTACTCACCACCATAGTTAGATTTTACAACTTTTATACTTTTTCTACATTGTTTCTCTACTTCCATTTTAAAAATCTTGAATTTCTCAAGTGCATGAGATTTATCATTAATCAGATAAATATATCCATATCGTGAGAAATCATCAATAAAGGTTATGAAGTATTTGTTTCCACATATGGTGGATGGCAAAGGTCCACTAATATCAGTATGTGAGGTATAATAAACTGTGAAAACATAAAGTATCATATTCAATATCATCCAAATATAATGCATGCAGTCAAATGGATGATAAAATATCCAATTAATTAACATGGGCCATTAATTAGATAATCCGTAATTTAAATCAAAATCATATGAATTTTATTACGGTAAGAGCCTAGATGTATCATCATAAAGCCACCTTTGGGCTGACAAAACAACATGCTAAATGGTACTCTTAAAACACATCATATAACTAATTAATAAAATCACATTGAATTTCAAAATTCCAACACCTTTGGATTGAAGGAAATTTAT